ATATACTTGCTCCAGAGAATGTGCCAGCTATTTTTCATTCCCCTCCCTCACCTTTTTAAAAAATATTTTTTCGGCTGCATCAGGTCTTAACTGCAGCATGCAGGATCTTCATTTCATCATGCAGGATCTTTCACTGTGACGCAGGGACTCTAGTTGTAGCTCATGGACTCAGTAGTTGCAGCATGTGGGCTTAGTTGAGGCATGTGGGATCTTAGTTCCCCAACCAGGGATCAGACCCACGTCCCCTGCATTTAAAGTCAGGCAGTGTCCGTGTTAGTTGTTCAGTCGTGTCTGACTCCTTGCGACCCCATGGACTATATAGTCCCCTAGGCTCCTCTGTCCGTGGAATTCTCCAGGCAAGAATACTGCAGTGGGATGCCATTCCCTTCTCCAGGGGATCTTCCTGACCCAGGGATTGAACCCAGGTCTCCCACATTGCAGGCAGATTCTTTACCATCTGAACCCCCTGGGGAGCCCTCCTGCATGGCAAAGCAGATTCTTAACCACTGGACTGCCAGGGAAGTCCCCCTCCCCCATCCTCTCTCTTACCCCTTCTTCACCCAGCAGTTGGTCCCGAGAGGACTGCGCTGGATGGGCTTCCACAGTTGGCTTTTCGGGGAGTCCTAGCAGGAGAGGACTGAGGGAGGAACATGAAACTAGGTGTGTGGTTGGCAGTGCTCTTGATACAGGATAGTTGCTTCTGTGTGGCCTTCCATGTGCCTCTTCCTTCCAGGTTCTGGTAAGTGCTCCCTAGAGGGCCCTGCTTCTCACTGCAGGGTGCTGCCCTGTCCTTGTAGCATGCCTGTACACTTCCCTACATCATTGTGAAGAGTCCCTTTATTAAATCTCCCTGGATTACACCTCGTTAGTTTCATAGGACTGCTAAAACAAAGTACCCTGAACTGAGTGGCTTAAAACAACAAAAAGTTATTGTCTCAGACTTTTGGAGGCTAGAAGTCCAAAATTAAGATGTTGGTAAGGCAGTGCTCTCTCTGATATCTGACACACAGATTCTTCATTGCCTCTTCCTCGCTTCTGGTGACTTGCTGGCAATCATTGGCATGCTGTGGTTTCCTGCACCACCTCAATCTCTGCTTCCATCATCATCTGATGTTCTCCTCCTGTATGTCTGTCCCTCTGTCTCTTCTTACAAGGACAGGAACAGAATAGGAAAAACTCTTATTGTGTCTGCTCTACTCAGCTCTTTATTACTACTTTTAATATTTACTTCTGATCACCAAATAGGTAGGTTTATTTTTCCCATGCCAAGTAATTCTCCAGTTCTCTGCAGACACCAGTTGGGTATCCTACAGTGTGACTCAGTCCTGACACTACCTGGAGTTAGCGTCTGATCCCACATGGCTTCCCTGGTTGCTCAGATGGTAAAGAGTCCGCCTGCAATTCGGGAAACCTGGGTTCGATCCCTGGGTTGGGAAGATCCCCTGGAGAAGAGAATGGCAGCTCACTCCAGGATTCTTACCTGGGAAATCCCATGGACAGAGGAAGCAGGCGGGCTACAGTCCATGGGGTCACAAAGAGTCAGACACAACTGAGCAGTTGAGCATGGAGGCATGCATGTAGCAGCTACAGCTTGTAGTTCATTGGGACTGTCTTGTGTCCCCTCACAGAGTGCTCCCCCTTTGAAGACCAAGACTTCTAACCACACAGGTTTCAGAAATATGGGATCAGAAATGTCCTCAGTGGGTCACTGGGAGTGGTAAATGGGCCCATTCCTGCTTTCCTGCCTTGATTTCTGGACCACCTGGTCTTCCTGCTAGGGACACAGTACCCTGTAGGACACTTTCATTCAGTCTGTAGGTTCTACCCTAGAGAATGAGACCCTGTTCTAGCACAGTATTGCCCCTGAAAGTGAAAATGAAAGTTGCTCAGTTGTGTCTCCTCTTTGAGACCCTATGGACTATATAGTTCATGGAATTCTCCAGGCCAGAATATTGAAGTGGGTAGCTTTTCCCATCTCCAGGGGATCTTCCCAACCCAGGGATCGAACCCAGGTCTCCCGCATTGCAGGCGGATTCTTTACCAGCCGAGCCACCCAGGATTGCCCCTGAGATGGTGCTTCATCTGCACCACCAGCAGCTCGTTCCATCACTCTCTCAGGTTGGCACTTGGGGGGAAGGTGGTGGTGGTAAGACCAATAGGTCCCGTGATCATGGGATCCCTCCCAAACCTCCTTCACTGTGAAGTGGGTCCCCTGGCTGGGTGCTGTTATGGGTAGGGTTCTGGTCTATGGGTCAGGCACTCTCTAAACTGCAGAATGGTAGAGGCTGAAGCTCTTGTACTTCACAGTACAAACGTGTGCTGAGAATAATTATCTGTTCTTACGTGAACAAATTGCTTGGCCTTCCAGGGTGCAAAGGACCCAGTGAAGTCAACTTGTTACCATGTGACCAGTAGGTCCCTCAGAGAATAGTACCAGATCGGGGATTCATCTCTGGCTTCTCTCTCTGGCAGGTTGGACATTCAGAGGTGATCGTGGCTAGACTGTCCTTACCAAGGATGGTCATGCCAAGAGGCCATGCGTTGCCTCCACCTCTGCCACCACGGTCACTCCCCTCAAGTGCCTATCTTGTTTCTACTCTTGTTTTCTCATGGTCTATTCTAGATATAATAGCCATATTCTTTTAAAAATATAGATCAGTTCACTACTGCTAAAAACCCTGTACTAGCTTCCCACTTCATCAGTAAAATCTCAAATCTTTACGTAGCTCCCCTCCCTCCATCCTCTTTGTTACTTTTCTGATGTCATCAGCTATATATTTCCCCAGGTGCAACCTGCTACAGCCTCGCTGTCCCTTGAGTTCACCAGGTCCCCTGTAACCTGGTCTGTTGATCTCTACTTCCCGAGACACTCTTGCACATGTTCTTTCCCTCACATCCTCCAATCATTGCTCCAATTTTCAACTTCTCAATGAACCCTGCTCTGATCCCCTGACCGCCCTGTTTGCCGTGACAATGTCCATTTCCCAGTCAACACTCCCTGTACCCCTTACCCTGCTCTCCTCCTCTTCTAACACACCATATTGTTTATTTATTTATTATGTGTCTTTAGTGTCTATCTCCCATGCTGGAAGACAGGGATCTTCGTCTGTTTTACTTGTTCAGATTCTGTAAGCACCAGGCGGAGCGCCAAGAACAGAGAAAGAACTCAACGGTGAAAGGAAAATTCAGCCACCCATCAAAAAAAAGCATATTAAAACAAGGTGATATTGTTATGTGTTAAAATTAACAATTAAGACTAGCCTCCAATGATATTAAAAACTGTATGACAAAAAATGTTTTCATAGTTTGCTGGTGACTTTGCAGTTTGTTACAATCTTTTGGAAAGCCGTTTAGCCTTATGAAAGTGAAAGTGAAGTCGCTCAGTCGTGTCCGACTCTTTGTGATCCCATGAATTGCAGCACACCAGGCCTCCCTGTCCATCACCAACTCCCGGAGTCTNAAAGCTGGTTTTAATACATGATACATTGCAAGTATACCTGACTTGTCTTTTGAGCTAAAAAATGTCGCTGGCTTTTTGTTGAAATCATGTTTATGTGTTAATTACTTTATTGTCATTTATTCTCCTGTATTTATTGGGAAGCAGTTATATGCCAGGCCCTACCTCCGTCTGATGGCTCTCTAAATCTCTGCCCTCAGGAAGTTACTAAGAGAAATAAACAAGTCAAAGATCTCTGCCATGTGCTGGGACTGATGCCGATTCTAGGAACGCAAAAAAGCCTGAGTGGCTTGTAATGAGGTAGGAGATGGACACAGGCATCCAACATCTTTTCAGTTCTCTATCTCCCTTTCACAGCTGGCCATCTAATCTCTCTATTGGTCACATGTCCTGAAAATTAGAGTTCTAATAGTATCTTGTCATAAACGAAACTGAATACATTAATGTAATCCTATGGGCTTCCCTAAAGAAACTTTAGGGCATTTAAAAAGTTTTTTCTACTTTAAATGGAAAGTATGTGTTCCTTTTCCCAGGCCCATGTTTATTATTTGTGCTTTTGCAATACATGCAATGTATGTGTTTTGCAGAGCTGTTACACTCTACATACATATATATATGTATAATTTTTATTTAACTGTTTTATTTTTTGGCTGCACTGTGTCTCATTGCTGCCTGAGGGCTTCTCTCTACTTGCCTCAAATGGAGCTACTCTCTAGTTGCGGTGCATGGGCTCCTCATTGCAGTGGCTTCCCTTGTTGTGGAGCACAGGCTCCAAATAAATAAATAAATTTAAAAATAAGATATATCACCAGAACCAGACATGGAACAATGGGCTGGTTTCAAATTGGGAAAGGAGTACGTCAAGGCTATGTATTGTCACCCTGCTTATTTAACTTCTATGCAGAGTACATCACGTGAAATGCCAGGCTGGTTGAATCACAAGCTAGAATCAAAACTGCGAGGAGAAATATCAACAACCTCAGATATGCAGATGATACTCTAATGGCAGAAAGCAAAGAGGAACTAAAGAACCTCTTGATGTAGGTAAAAGAAGAGAGTGAAAAAGCTGGCTTAAAAGTCAACATTCAAAAAACTAAGATTACAACATCCAGTCCCATCACTTCATGGCAAGTAGATGGGGAAAAAATGAAAACAGTGACAGATTTTATTTTCTTGGGCTCCAAAATCACTGTGGACAGTGACTGCAGCCATAAAATTAAAAGACACTTGCTCCTTAGAAGGAAAGCCATGACAAACCTAGACAGCATATTAAAAAGCAGAGACGTCACTTTGCTGACAGAGGTCCATCTAGTCAAAGCTATGGTTTTTCCAGTGGTCATGTATGGATATGAGAGTTGGACCATAAAGAAGGCTGAACACCAAAGAATTGATGCTTTTGAACTGTGGTGCTGGAGAAGACAGTTGAGAGTCCCTTGGACTGCAAAGAGATCAAACCAGTCAATCCTAAAGGAAATCAGTTCTGAATATTCATTGGAAGGACTGATGCTGAAGCTGAAGCTCCAATACTTTGGCTACCTGATGCAAAGAACCAACTCATTGGAAAAGACCTTGATGCTAGGAAAGATTGAGGACAGGAAGAGAAAGGGGCAACAGAGGATAAGATTTTTGGATGGCATCACCAACTCAATGTACATGAGTGTGAGTTCATTTCCTTTAGCCTTGACTGGTTTGATCTTCTTGCAGTCCAAGGGACTCTCAAGAGTCTTCTCCAGCACCACAATTGCTTGGATTGATTAGTAAATACAAAAAAAATCAGACTACAAAAATGGAATAAATAAGAAGCAAGTGTTTGTCAAATTTCCAATTGGCAGCAAATATTCGAGCTTAAAAAAATACCCACAACGGAATTGACTACATAAAAATTTCATTGTCTCATTATAGTAACAGTGTAAACAGAATAGAAAGCATGCAGCAAACTGAAAAATGTTCCCAACATGTGACAAATTGAATATCTTTACTATATAAATTAGTCATACAAATTGAAAAGGAAAGCCTTACAATTCAATTAGGTTTACACAGAAAATTCACAGGAAAATTACATTTAGCCAATAAATAATAATGTGGATCATCATTTGAAGAGTGCTTATTATGTGTTTAAGTCCTTTTCTAAATGCCTGATATATTAACTTTTAATCCTTATATCCATTATGAAATGACTCTGGTCAACTCATTTAACCTTTCTGTGTCTCAGTTTCCCTCCTCCATGAACATGTTTGAGAATTATTCCATGAAAGATGCAAAGAAGTGAGATTTCTGGGTCAAAAGAGAATGTGGATTTTCAATACAACAAATCCTACCAAAATTCTATCCAAATTGCCACATATATTCTTATCAACTTCTTATCAACACAGTTTGAGAATACCAGTTTCCCCTGCCCCCCAGCCAACACTAAATAAGTTCTGTCCTTTTCTTTTTTGCCAATTTGATGGGCATATCACTCTTGCCTCTCAAGAATTCAAGTCCTTTTCATCCTGAAAGCCAGATTGAATATCCACGTTTTCTTTGAAGAGTCCCGTCAACTGCCCAGTAAAACATTTTTCCTTCCTTTCAATTCCCTCATCACTTTATCTATTCATTCAACAAACATTTGTTGAGCATTTATTATATATTCTAGTCAGTGCAGATAAAGCAACAGATAAATCAGGCAAAAATTTCTACCTTTATGGAGCTTACATTCTAAGGAGGAAGGCAGACAATAAAAATGAATGTAAATTTATAGAATCTTAAATAGCTAAGAACAAAGAAAGCTGATGTGGGGGATAAGGAGGTATCAGGATGGAAATAGAATTGAAATTTTAGGCACCGTGACTGAGGAAATCCTAGCAAAAGGTTGCTTGTGCCTTTCTTACAGCATTTACCACTTTCTAGTCCTCTCACCTGGAAACTCCCGTGGACGGAGGAGCCTGGCGGGCTGCAGTCCATGGGGTCGCTACGAGTCAGACACACTGAGCGACTTCACTTTCACTTTTCACTTTCATGCATTGGAGAAGGAAATGGCAACCCACTCCAGTGTTCTTGCCTGGAGAATCCCAGGGACGGGGGAGCCTGGTGGGCTGCTGCCTATGGGATCGCACAGAGTCGGACACGACTGAAGCGACTTAGGAGCAGCAGCAGCAGCAGTCTATGTTTATTTTTATTGTGATAAAATATACAACATACACTTTATCATTTTAATCATTTTAAAATACATAGTTCAATGACAGTAAGTATACATGCATTCACATAGTCGTGCAGCCATCACCACTGTTCACCTCCAGAACTTTTTCATCATCCCAAACTGAAAGTCTGTATCCCCTTGAACTGTAACTCTCCATTCTGCTCTCCCTCCCACCTTTCTGTGTCTGAATTTGATTACTCTAGGTACCTCATTTAAATGGAACCATACAGTATTTGTCCTGTGTTTGCTTTATTTCCCTTAGGGTAATTTCTGCAACGCTCATGTTGCAATATGTATCAGAATTTCTTTCTCTTTTAAGTTTGAGTAATATTTCATTGGAAAAGACCCGGATGCTGGGAAAGATTGAAGGCAGGAGAAGAAGGGGATGACAGAGGATGAGATGGTTGGATGGCATCACCGACTCGATGGACATGGGTTTGAGCAAACTCCTGGAGATGGTGAAGGACAGGGAAGCCTGGCGTGCTGCAGTCCATAAAGAGTTGGATGTGACTGAGCAACTGAAAAACAACAATATTCTATTATTTGTATGTACCACATTTTGTTTATCCATTCATCTGCCAAGGAACATTTGGGTTGTTTCTGGGTTTGTCTGTTATGAATAATGTAGTGAACATAGGTGTGCATATATCAGTTGAAATCTCTTCTTTGAGTCTCTGAGGGTATAACCAGAAGTGGAATAACTGGATCAAATGGTAGTTATATGTTTAATTTTTTTAAGAACTACCATACTGTTTTTCATAGTGGATGCACCATTTTACATTTTTATCAGCAATGCACTAGGGTTCCAACTGCTCCACATCCTTGCAAAAACTTTTTTTTTAATAGTAGACATCATAATGGGTTTTAAGTGGTGTCACATTGTGGTTTTGAGTTGCATTTCCTTAATGATTAATGATGCTGAACATCTTAATCATGTGCTTTCTGGCCATTTGTGTGTCTTCTTTGGAAAAATGTCTGTCCAAAATGTCTTCGCCCATTTTTGAGTTGGATTGTTTGTTTTTTTTGTCACTGCATTCTGAGCGTTCCCTATATACTCTGAATGTTAATCCCTTGTCAGATAAACAAGAGCACATAGTTTCTCCTGTGAGTTGTCTTTTTATTTTGGTAATAGTATCTGTCTTAGTCCATTTGGACTATTGTAACAAAATTACCATAAACTGAGTAGTTTACAAACCACAGAAATTTGTATTTCACCACTCTGGAGGCTGGGAAGTCCCAGATCAAGGACTTCAAGCATCAAGCAGCTTCAGTGTCTGGGGAAGGCCCACTTCCTGGTTCATAGATGGCGTCTTCTTGCTGTGTCCTCATGTGGGGAGGGAAGGAATCTCTGTAAGGGTACTGATCTCATTCATGACCCCATCACCTCCCAAAGGCCCACCTCCTGTAATATCATCACCTTACGGGTTTGGATCAACATACAAATTTTGAGGGGAAACAGACATTCAGACCATAGCAGTGTCCTTTGATGTAACAAATTTCTAAAATTTTAATGACATCCATTTGGTCTATTTTTTTCTTTAGTAGACTCTGCTTTTGGTGTCATATCCAGGAAATTATGAAATCCAGTGTCATAAAGCTTTCCCCTGTTCTGAAAGTTTTATAGTTTTAGATCTTACATTTTGGTCTTTGATCCACTTTGAGTTAATTGTACATGGTGTTAGGTAAGAGTCCAATTTCATTTTTTGCATGAGGATGTTAGATGTTCATTTTTATTACACTTGATGATTTTCCTAAGACCCTTTGAGGACAGCACTGTGTCTTATAATTCTTTATATCCCTTTTAATACCAGGCATTTAACAAGAGCTTAATGCACTTAAAAAAAAATGCTTTGTGGTTCCTGACTATTGACTCAAAAGTCTTATTCTGTCTGCACCCTATTGTAGGACCTAGCACATAATTGGCATTTTAAAAATGTTTATTAAATTAAGGAATTAAGTATATTCTTATTCTGAAGGATCTCATGGTCAAAAAAATTATTCTTTCAATTGAGTGATGTTGAAAGGATTGGAGAATGAATAAATTATTGTAAATGTTGTATTGCATAATACATATTTGTAAAAAGAGAATGACAAACAGCAAAAATAATTTCTGTAGCCACCTTCAAAACAAATACATAACTTTTATTTTGAAGAAGATGAACTATAACTAAGAATTCATCATTTTTTTCTCCTTGAAATCTTTTTAAAATAATCCAGTTTTTTTAAAAAGGCAAACATAAGAGCTCTGGAAAACCAAGAAGGTGATATGATAGTTATACAAAAATGTTCCCAGCGAACCAGCTCATTGGTACTTAGGTACTTGTGTGGTTCCCCTCCTGTGTTGAAGTTGGACTTCAGCCAACAGAATCCCAAGAGTGGTGCTGGACCATTTTGTATCTAAGCCTGTGATAGATTTTGTATTTATAGCATCTGGAAATGGACTGACAGAAACAAACACAGGTAGATTTCTCTATGAGTTCCAAGCTCAGAGCAGAGGCAATGCTATCAAGAGTTAGCCTTTGGGGGGGTGAGGTGGCGGGGAAGTTAGCCTTGAGATGCGAAGAATTGGGTGGGGTTGTGAACTGAAGCCCTCAGGATGTTGGAGCCTTGACTTGGCCCAGGTGTGCTGGTTAAGGGGGGAGTTGCCACAGCCAGCTCCTGGATTGGGCAGTATAGAGTTTCGTGGCTACAGTGCCCTTCAGGTTACCATGGTGAATTGAGCATGTCATGAAAAGTCCAGCGTGTCACTTCCGCAGTAACCTCCTGCAGCATCCCTAACATCTCAGGACAGAGGCTGGAATGTTTGGCAATTTCTTAAGGGTGGTGGGGAGGGTGGAGCACGCCATTCTTTGGTGGAGCAAATAATTTGGAGAGCTCCATTTATCTTGAGAGAGTTTCCAAACTGTTTCTAGGGAGGTAAGTAGTTGAAAATATTCGCAGAGCAAAGGTCAAAGCTTCCTGAGATTGATCTCACCAAATGAAGCAGGATGTGAAAACAAACAAAAAACAGCAGGATAGAGTGTTTAGCCAGTGTAATAATAACAGCGGTCACTTGTGCACCATTTACTTCATACTGAAGGCCATTGCACCCATTCACTCACAACCTCATAGAAAATGATGACAAAGAGAACAGCAGCCATCTGATCCTAGGGTTTTCACTATTAACCACTACTCTATAGAAACAGAATGTGATAAAAGTGACCATTTCAGATCAATGGGAAAAGAATGGATGTTTCAATAACAGTAAATTTGTACTGTAGGTATAGAAAGGGGCCAGTGCTCCAGCTGTACTTCATTCTTGAAAAGATAGAGCAGAATTCAGCTGAAGACAAAAAGAAACCATGTGTTATGTTAATATCTCTAGTTAATAGAGCACACTTACAAACTGATAAGAAAAAGTTAAATAGTCTAATAGAAAGTTTGCCAGGTGATATGGACAGCAATAAACAAAAACACAAGTGATACCATTAAAATATGATGCAGTGATACAGTGTTAGGAAAATATATATATATAATTTATGTATTACAATCCTGGTTTTGTAAGGAAATAAACAACCATCATTACCACCACTGCAATAAATACATGCACATAAAGACAGAACGATGACTTGAAGAAAAGAATCAGAATGTTCACAGTGGTTAAAGTGAAGTGAAGAATTGAAGTGAAGTCGCTCAGTCATGTCCAACTCTTTGCAACTCCGTGGACCCACGAGGCTCCTCCTCCTCCAGGCAAGAATACTGGAGTGGGCTGCCATTTCCTTCTCCAGGGGATCTTCCCGACCTAGGGATCGAACCTAGGTCTCCCACATTGTAGACAGACGCTTTACCGCCTGAGCCGCCAGGGAAGTCACAGTGGTTAGCCCAGGGTAATAACTTGCAATTTATAAATGTTTTCATTTTTCCAAAATTTCAATAAAGCACCTTTATTTAGAATTAGAAAAATAAACCACGACACAAATTATTTGAACATTTGTGAGTTAAATTTAAAGTGAAAGTATTATACTTACATGTTTGTTGTTAAGCTTAATTACTTAGAGCATAATACTTGTTTAAAACCCATAGAGTGTACAACACGGAGTGCACCCTAATTTATACTGTGTACTTTGGGTGATAATGATGTGTCCGTGTAGTTTTATTGGTCATAACAAGCATACCACTGTAGTTCAGAATGTCCATAATGGGAAAGTTGTATGTGGGAGAGAACAGGGGAGATATGGGAACTCTGTGCTTTCCATTCAATTTTGCTGTGAACCTACAACTGCTCTAAAAAAACTAAGTTCATTATTTAAAAAAAGAGCATAGCAACCATAATGATGTCATAGAATTTCTTTAAGGAGGAAATTTTGTAAATACCCTTTATTTAAACTTGGCATAAAGTTGGCATGTTTCTATCCCTCAATGCCAAAAGTATGGTTTTTCACATGGCTTAGCATATCCATTTATAAGGGGCAAACCATTATTTCTTAAGTGCATCAGATTGAGGTGTAAGACCAATGCCTATTTTTATTTAGAATGACAGTTCTGTCACAGGGGCTGGAATACACATATGGACATAGGCAACATATTTTCTTTGTGAAGTCAGGGAAAAAGGCTATAATATCAGAAGGTTGCCTGGAGAACCTGAAATTAGGGGAAGTAGGAACTAGTGTCATGACTTGATTATTTAAAATATTTCTCAAAGTATAAGTTCATTGACTACCTACATCAGTCTCACCAAGGATGTTCACTAAGATGGAGGTATTTAAACACTAACCTAGATTTACTCTATCAAAGTCTCCAGGTATGACATCAGAGTCTGCACTTTTAACAAGCATCCAAGATGACATTTATGTGCACGGAAGTTTGGGAACCAGAGGTACTTTGTTCCAGTGTAGCAAGGAAAAAGGGTAGCGTTGGCTATGAAGTCTTTGCCAATAGAAAATTAACAAATCAAAAGCATTGATGAGACTAAATCTTGATGTTTCCCTGAAGGGGAAATGGCTAAGGTTCCTTTTAATGATTGTATGATATGCTAATCAAATTGATACATAATAAATGTCCGTTTCTTTTAAAGGCTTTCATGCTAGGTTGTGGTCCAGTGAAGATACTAGGTCCATTAGGCTTCACTTGTGCATTATTGTTCTCTTGCTCATTTAAGACCTGTAACTAATGGTATTGTATAACACGAGATTCTTATTGAATCTCTCTCAATGTAGCTTTTTTGCAGAAAATAATTCCCCCTTTCCATGATACTATCCTGGTATTCCTTGATAGTCTAAGAAATAATACACAAACATCTTAATTTTTACCTGTGAGACACATTTTTAAAAATTGTCCTAACTGTTCTTTAAAATAGTTACTACTAGTATGTCTATCAT